TAAATAATGCTGGATTTTGTTATTATTGTTGTTATTGAGCTCACTATATTACATATAATCTGCATTTTCTACCTATCCCAGTTTTGATTTACTGATTTATCGTTTATGTATGTTGAATTAACTAGTCCTCTAACTAACTTGCTAATTTGCTTGCCAGTTTCCAAATTAGGATGCATATGCTAGTTAATGCACTTCTAGAGCAATATAATCTGCATATACAGATACAACAGTTTTAGCCATCTATGTTCTTTAGGGATGTTGTGAATGAACTAAGGGCTGATTCATATAACCATTTGAACCTAAGATCACTAAATACGTTAACTTCCTGCTTCTCATGATTCACTAATGTAACCACCAGAAAATAGCATTTTAGTATATTACCTTCTGTCCCTCTTGGGGCAGCATACAAAAAAAAAAAAAAAAAAAAAAGACTGATATTGTGAATGAGGGTTGGTATCCTACAATATGGAAACAGTTAAGTACAGTAATTCGGAGTGACTTTTCATGTAATGCTTTTGAGATTTATGTAAAGCACTATTGCTAGGCGTTCACTGAGCCATGCAAAGCTGTAATGGGTCCATTATTTTTAAGATAAATATTAAAAATACCATATTGCATGTTGCAATATTATGCAAAAGTGTTTTTTTTTATTGCTTATTTCCTTATAACCTATCCCACATCTTCCTTTTGTTATGTTTCCTTTCTCACTCTCTGGGGACTTTTATATTACAGCAAGCTCTCTAGAATCAATATTAGATGATGGTTTCTTCCAGGATTTTGACAGAGAAGCATGGAACTCCGCCTTTGGTTATGACCCTGGAAATATAAGATGTTCTGTGAAGAAATAAAGCTTCCTCAGGTGCATAGACTTTTGAAAGGAATTTATCTGATCTCCATTCTCTGCATACCAGCATGGATATGATTATTGAAACACACAGCTCTGGAGAACTCATTGTGATTTCTCCTGGCTTCCTTTTAAAGAAAGAAATAAAATTCCAGGATTGGAAAGAAATGCAAGAAGTTCAGCCATAACATAACCTCCTAGTATTTCTGGGACTGACTTATGGTACATTTAAGGTGGGAATGAAAATGGTGGTAGCAATGACAGCTGAAACAGGCACAATATTAAAAAGGAAGTTCAGTGCATTTGATATATCCAAGTTGCCTGACTGAAAACTGAAAAAATACCACAATTTTTAACTAGAAAATCTAGCAACAAGAGTGACTTCTGATACAGCTACACAGAAGGCAAAACCCATAAGACAGAACAAGCAATAAAAAAGAGTTTTCTTAAGGACAGCTGATTTCAGTACTTTCTAAGTCAAAGGGGAAGAGTGTTTTTTTTAAAAAAAATGGAAAATACAAGTTTTAAAAAAGTTTTCCTCTGAAGGACTGACATATAGTTTTCAGATATTTCTAAAAAAAAGTATTATCTTTCCAAATTCTCTTTGTTCAAGTAATTTCCAAAACAAGGTATCCTCATATTGGCTTGTCCCCTATAGTTTCCTGATAAACAATAAGTAGATTACCCCATGACAACCCATATTATACTCCTGAAAAAAAAAACCTCTCATCTTTTTGACTTACTATAATCTTGGCTTCAATGAGTATAAATTCCTTCCCTGTTACAACAACATAGCCAACTGTGCTTTTTTTAGCTGGAGAAGTAAATTACATTGAAACTAGACAATCATAGAAAAATTAATTATTCTATACTCATATGTAAATATAGAAAAAGGGACCCTCATCTGCCCTTGTGTACTGTACTGGATCTGCAGTATACATCTCGACTACTTAAGTGACTTTGTGAACTGAAAAACCATTGTAGCAAGCCATTTATTAGTTTTTATGTTTGTAGAAATATTGAATTGGCCCAGATAGGTTGATCAACGTCTGGGCCATGTGGACCAGTTCCATTGCAATTTCTAAACGGTCCCATTTTGTGGGACCTTTCCCACAAAATTTCCCCATCTAAGAAATATTTTGAATCCACGTGATACAACAAACTTGTTAATGCTAAGCAGGTTGACATGAATTTCATCTACATTATTTTTTAGTGTGTTAGAAGTAAAGTCTTCATCCTGGTTCATCCAAGTAGGTTTTTATACTTCCTCTAGCCTTTTGTTTGGAATAGTTTCCTGTTCCTGTGGCATGAACCTTGAGGCTGTTTCTGAGTGTTTGTCTAGGCCTTAATATCTGTGGTTTAATTCTATTATCATATCCTGCTTCCCAGGTGATGGGGCTGACTCTTAGAGTTTGGGTGGGGTATGCAGATCTTCTCTTTTGTCTTCTTGATTGCTCTGGCTCCAACTTTCTGATGGTTTTACATCTGCATTTGTATGAGGCTAAAGTCTTGCTTGGGGCAGAGAGATAGATTTGGGGCCAGGTTTGGTTTTAAAAAGTCCTTTTGAGGAAAAATATATTTTCCTTTTTAATATTTCCTTCTGGGGGCGCTAACTTCCATCAAGTGCATAAATACATATCACACACAATTAAAACTTGGAAGGAGAGGGGCTGGGAAACAACTTCCTAGTTTCTTTCTGGTAAGAGTTTTATGATTGATCTTGCCCATTATGATACGTATTTTGTAAATTTGAGTATGACATAGTCTCAAAATTCCAAATGTGCCCACTACATTCAAAAGAATGGCAATATCTGGCTGATGACAATAGACAGTGATGTACATCTTAAATTGCTACAAATTTCCTTGATATTTGTATTGGAGTTTAACATATAATTTCAGCATGCCCAATCTGACTGAGAAAAATTTGTTAGACTTAAACATGCTGAAATATAAGCATGCCGAAGTATTAAACCTTAATGTATGATATCTAATGCATCTGATACATACTCTGAGAAGTACTTGGCCTTTATTTTCTGACTCTTTGTAGATCTATGGGTTTCCAACGTTCAACTTCTCAGATATTGAATTACAGCTACTATGCCCAATCAGTTAGGAATCTAAGAAGATTGCAGTTCAATGTCTGTCTCTGTTTGTCTGTCTGTCCGTCCGTCCATCCGTCCGTCCATCCATCCGTCTTTGAAGAGATCAAGGTCAAGCTATGCTACAAGGAAACCAATATAAGTTAATGAAACAAAAATTAAAATAATTCTATTTCATAATAATACTAAGTATTTGCAAGTTTCCAGAACCAAATTGCATTTGTCTATCTAGCATTTTTACTACTTGGAATATCAAAGAATACAAAGAATAAAGAAGTAGCTCTTAGTTGATGAGAAGAATATTGTCTGGTGGGGGCCACAGCTCACAGGAAGACTATCTGCAAAAATTCCTGGGGAGTTCTTGAGGTTTTAGATAAGACTGAGGGAAAAAGTCAATTTGAATTTGGGAAAGTCGAGTACTAGGACACAATGTGAGCAATCTGAATAGATTGAATCAGTGTCTTAAGGCAGCTATTATTATTAACAAACTGATGAGATGAAGTATCCTGAGCACAACTTTAAAGAGGTTTTTTTGTTATGTTTATGTGATGTTTTTGGATACTTAAGTAACTTTTAAATTCCTTTGGGTTTTATTTCATTTGTGTGATTTAGTGGCTACTCAACTCCACAGGATTGGGGCAGTTGATAAGATTAAAAGCAGCAAAGCAATAATAGTATTTTAAAAAGAAAAGGTGTATTGCATATGTTAATTACTTTTAGATTTCCGAATGAAAAGAAACGTTTAAGACTTCTGCTTTTGTGTTAATAAACCAAGATTTAATCAAATCTATTAGAGAGGATGCCTTGAAAACTTCCCCTAGTAACACAATGTGGGAAATAGAAATAATTAAAACGATATCTTAGAAGTGCCTGAAATGCGCTCCCCTCTACGGGAAAAGCAGGCTGCCATCTTTCGATTTATTTCCATGTGGGCATCAGTTAGGAAACGGGAGATTGTAGGGTTGCCTTTTGTAATCTGACGCCTTTGTCCAGGTTGGCTGGGAATTCCGGGGGGTTCTGAGGGCGCCAGGTTGGAAGACGGCTTGGAAGCATCTGGCATTGGCAGGCGTCACAATCACGGCCGTGTTTACCGGGCATTGTTTCTATTGTTTGGCTGAGGGGCTGGGAAATCAAGCATCCCCACTCGGCAGCTTTCCCCTTGCGCTGTGGGGCTTCTTTGCCTTTCTGACATCTTTAAGGGGGTAACCCTTCAGCCGCGTTGGCTGCGTCCGTCGGTCTGACTAAAAAAATAAAAAATAAAGAACCCCACACAGGTTCCTGCTGCCATAAGGTGCCTTTCCTTGCGAATAAGGATCTGGCTTCCTTGCATGCTTGCGCACATCCCATTATCTACTGGGGAGAGGTGTGCCACGTTGACCAAGGCGGGTTTCCCTCCTTCCAAGACGGGCAGGCAGGTGTGTGTGTGTGGGCGCGCGAGTGCGCGTTTTCGGAATGAGACGGGGGGGGGGAGGCGCGGTTCCCTCCACAAGGTTTGTGGCAACTGAACCCACCGCCGCCCCACAGCCAGCAGCTTTCCCGGCGTACATTCCCTTTGTGCCGAAGGAAGGGGGCTGTCCTTGTCATTACGACGCTGCTCAGCATTTCATGGGTTTTGGTTATGCGGCGGGAAAATGTGTGTGTGTGTGGGGGGGGGGGAAGCTGGCGGGTTCGCTCTGTGAGAAAAAACAACCGCGCTACAGCATTTCGAAAAACGAAGAGGGCGCGTTGTCGCCCTTTGACATTTTTGCCCGAGATAGGCAGACTTTTGTATTTTGTGCTTATGTGATTTGGAGGTACACAGAGGAAGCAGCTCTTAACGCTGGCTGTACCCTGCATCCACGTGCATCCCATTTTCGCTCCCCCGCCGCTATGCTGATGAATCCTCCTTTGGAGGGGTTTTAAAGTACGACCTGCCCGCTTCTCCTCCCCCCCACCCCATTCAGCTACCAGTGCATCAGAAAGCGCATGCGCCCTAAGCCCACTGCCGCGTAGCCCCCATTTGCAGCGCCCTCCCCTGCTTTTCCCTGGGAGCCTATGACGTCAGGCAGGCAGAAGGCGGCGCGAGCTCCATCAGGCGGCTGAGGCTACTGGTGCGGCAGGCGGGGGTTGCTTTTCCTTCGTCCGGCTGTGGTGGCGGGAGGTGTAGGAACGCGTCGTGCATAAAGCGTTCCCGGGGTGCGAACGGCATCAACCCCGTGCATCCTTCCCTCTCCATCACTCAGAGAGGCTGCAAAGGAAGAGGAACTGCTGTCTTCACCTCTCTCGGAATCCAGAAGTACCCCCTTTTTATTTTCTTCTCTCCCTTCTGTCGGCGCCCCCCTCCCCCGGCTTCTTTCTTCCCTATGCATCGTTCTTGGAACCTTTGATGCCCACTGCGATTACCTTGGCTTGTTTTTAACCTAGTGCAGAAGAAGCGGACTGCTGCTGATCGTCTCCCCCATCCCCATTCCCCCCCCCGCATGCAATTTTTCTTTCTCGCTTAGAAGGGCTGAACCCCCCTCCTCTCCCCTCCCCAGCCTTTGCCGCTGCTGGGTTTTCTCATCTCCTGGGCTGGGAGGGAGGGAGGAGGAGGGAGAGGGGCTTTTCCTTGCCGTCGCCCCCCTCCCGCTTCTGCTTCAGTGGATGGTGAAAGAATTGAAGACCCTTGGAAGGAGAGACTGAAGAAGAGCAGCAACGAAGAAGAAATAGCAGCTGCAACTGTGCGTCTTTCGTGGACTATCTGGCAACCTGGTTTTATTTTTTGAAATATTTTTGCACAAACATGCTGCCCCACAGAGTAGAAGTGGGGCTGTTGCTGCTTTCACTAGGAATTTTGCACATGCTAATAGGGATCGCCCCTGTTTTTACTCTTGAAGGTGAGTTGAATCCTTTCCCCCCTTCTATACCATGCATTTTATCTTATTCTGGTTACTTTTACTTGTTGCATTGTCTTTTTTAAAAAGTAAGCCTTCCTTGACCTCTCCCCCCCCTTTTAATACAATAGTTTTCCCTAAAAATTTGGGATGAGGAAGGGGATTGTTGCTCCAGGAATTCACATTTGTTTTCCACTTCGGAGAGAAAACAACCTCTCCCCAAATACAAACCACCTCAAATGTATGAAAGAAGGTGTTGCATATTTTACATTCATTTGACTGTGTTTTTGTTTTCCTGCCCCTTGCCAAACCATTGAGGCTTATGCAGATTTCTTTCCAGGAACAAATGGTTGTGTGAATAGGTATGAAGATAGGTAGGAGTTAGGGTTGTTTTGAGGGAGGGGACCCCTGGCAAAAAGATCAGGCTATAAAATGAGAAACTACTTAATGAGAGAAATCTTTCTAAAATGAAATCTGTTCTCAAATGTTGAATGGAGAGATCTCTGGAATTTCTCCTCCTGCCCCTGCTGCCAGTGTTTCGCTTTAGAACACAATGAGAGTGAAATAGTGCATTCCAGTGAATGTTCAAAAGCAAGTCCCATTGAGTTCAACGGGGCTTTCTGCCAGATAGTAGTGTAGAGGATTACAGCCTTAACAATACTGTCCAGTTATTTAACAATACTGTCCAGTTATATATATATATATATATATATATATATATATATATATATATATATATATATATATATATATAATATAATATAATATAAAACCTTGTACTTTCTAGATTTATTGTACATTCTTATCTGTGCCAAGAAGATGCCCAAGTTAAACTGTCTTTCTGGCTCCTTGTTCCCCGTGAATAAATATTTATTTAGGATATTGCTGCTTCTGTTTTTAGCCAGACTCTCATTGAGATTTGGAGCCTGTTTTGCTGGCATTGCGTAGGCCTGAAGCTGGTACCTCAAGTAGATCACACCTCTTCACTAGCAAGGAAGCTGTAAAATGGAGATTAATGCTCCGCCACAAAATACATTTGGGGATAGAATAATGACAAGGAGAGCCAAGTACTAATGTTGATTGTTGCAAAGATCTAGCATTATAGGAGATGTGTGTGAAGCTGGTGACACTAAAGGCCTGGATTATACTAGAACCTGGGCTGAGAAGTCCATCTCCAAAATCAGTAAACTCTGTCGTCTTCCCCCAAATTGAAGGAGGGGTTGCATTGTGCCCCTTGCTTATGCCATGGCATATATCAAGGGATAATGTGGCTGTTAGGTCATATATTGGCAACAATGGTATTTTTTTTAGGAGATGGAGAGATGGAATGTAGTGATGGGGAGAAGAATTATTTAGTGGGGAAGAGGTAAGAATGAGGGTTTAAGGAAGTGCCTATTTCCTCTAACTGAAACATGGGAAACCTTAGCCTGAAGGATCGGAAAAGTAACTATATCTGCTACTGAAATAGTTCTTGCGAAGTATCATCTCTTCTCTAATGTAAAATGGTTGTAGAGAAGGAATTCATATCTTATCCCTTTGCATTGCCTGTGCTTTCTTTTTTTTGTCACCAAAGGTAAAATGATGTGAACATTGCTATCTTTGAGGGGTGATCATAGATCATAATGGAGGTTTTTCAGACTCAGAAATTTTGACTATGGAGAGATCCACTCTGGAGAGGTCTAGTTTCCTGCATTGAAAACATGGCTTCCTGCTTTCCAAAAAATGTATATGCTATATGCAGGGTGGGCTGTACCCTCTTTACATGTAACATTTTGAAGCTTCTTTGTAGAAGAGGAATTTTGAAGATAGGTAAGAGTTGTTTACCACTCTGCTAGGCAGAAGGGGTGGGTAAAACAGGTGGTGTCTGATGGTATACTTCAGGATATCTTGCAATCAAGCCAAAAGTGAGTGCCCTGTCATTACAGCATGAAATCTAAAATCTAAAACTCAGCTGTCTTTTAAAAAAAACAAAACAAAAAAACCCCACCTCCTGCTTCTCTGCCTTTTCTGAATCTGGAAGAGGTCAATTTTTTTCCTTTCCAACTTCTCTCTAGAAGACTTTTTGTGAGCTGTTGGGCTATTCTGTTTTTGCAAAAACTCCTTGGATGGCATTCATTCTTTAGGGCTTAATATTCAGACAGAGATCACTGAAGTAAGAACTTAGCCCTGGAAATATTCTTCTCATTTTCCCCCACCCCATCCTGACTTTATGAAATATGCAATGCATAGGGATTAGGTGAAAAGACTGTAAGAACAAAGACACAGTGCAATTGAGGCAATTTTAAAGGATCGGTTTCTTTGCAAGGTGTGGCAGTCAGATTTATGGGAAAACTTCATGGTGCTTCCATCTTTTGGGTAGGGGGAATCCATCCTACCTTAGAACTGCCATAACTCCCTGTGAATGTTTCCTGTGGTTTCTCTGGCCCTTATTTGTTTTGGACTGCTCTGTATAAGAAAAACTCTTCTGGTTTGGTGAAAAGCAAAAAAAAAAAAAAAAGGAGTTTTCTTGCAGAATCTAACTAACTTGCCTTTTCACCAAGTTTGAAAAGCCATCCTTTACAGATGCCCTGTGTGTCCAGAACAATGGCACTCTTGATCTAGTACTGGCTCCCCTTGAAAATAGAACCTGTCTATTAGACTGAGAACTTTTCTCAATTCTGATATAAAAAAACTTTCAGGGTCCAAGTCTTGAATTGCATGTCTAAACAGGTTTTCTACTACTGACATATTGGGTCTCCCGCCTTAGTGTTACTATCTTTCAAGTTAAGTGCATGGTTAATGGACTTGTGAAAAAGAGGGCAGGTAATGTGGTACCCAAATCTTGCTTCTGCTGCTGCTCTTCCTTTCTCATCCTCTACTCTTCTATTTACTAAGCAACTTCCCCAGTCTGCTACTTGGTAGAACTGGATCTGGATTAACACTTATGTGTAACAGAAGTCAGATCACCTTAGAAATGCATGTAATCGTTTTTTTCCAGTGGTCATTACCCCACTCTGACTTTTATTTTGTATTTAAATTTTAAAAATTCTTTACTTGCAAATTGATTTATTTGTTAAACTTTTCCTGTTAAGTCTTTGGTTTATGGTTTTTGGCCTCTATTACTACCAACTTGAAATGGGAGTTTAACAAGGAACTAATACAGTTTTCCCCAAGTCTATTTAAATTATCCCAAATTGGGTAAAAGTGGCTTTTCACAAATCTATTACCCAATTGCAACAGGAACTTTTGAATTGACTTGAATAGTTTTACCTACATTGGGTAGAAAGGACATTCCGATAAGCAGTTCTGGGTAATGAAGGAAAAAGCACCGAACCAGTAGGAAACAGCTTTTTGAACACTCCAGTGAAATTGATGTGCTATTCTAATTCCAGACTGTAGCTGTTGCTGCCCTAAAATTTTATATAACATGATAGGATAGGGGTGTGTTCGTGTATGTGTATATTATTATATGCATGAGCCAAGAAAAATTACTGAGTGCTACATGTAAGCACTTGCAAGTTTCTCTGGCCCTATCTTTACCTCTTCTGAAAGAAAGCAAGACTGGTTTGTTGATCTGAGGACATCATACTGTACGCCGAGTTACTGAACTGGAAGTTTCACATTTAATGACTAAGTCATTAGAACACATGGAGGTTCTGATATTAGCAATAGCCCTGTGATTCACTGAGGCACCAAAACTACTTTGTAATACAAAGGTTTGCGTGTGTGAACACATTATTGGTCTGGTTTACACAACCAGCATCAACAATGATTTCTTCATAGACCGTACCATCTCAAAACATAAATGGGGGAGATATATATCTTTGATATTCCCAGATAGTAAACTATAGAAAAACAAAAATGAAAGAGAAGGATTTTAGTGCAGCCTTCTAATTTTTAGTGTGTGATTTCACTCCCCCCCCCCACCCCCATTGCTGTCTTCCACAAACAATTCTCATCACAGGCACTTGCAGCAATACAGTCCAGGAAGAGATATATCATTTATTTGCTGTATAGTTTAGATTGAGCAGGACCAATAGTTGCTTTTCCACTATCTCAATTTTTATGATGATCCACAGTAGAATCTCTCTCAGAATGCATTTAAGTTATATTCTATCCTTCCTCTGACAGCTTTCAACAAACCTGTAAAGTACATGATAGGGAGAATAACTGGCTTCTGATAACTACTTAGCATTATGGGTATGTGGAGATTTGTACTAAGATCTTCTGCATTTTGGCCCAGTGCTAGCTACTACATTATAGCAGGTAACCCTTTCCTCAGTCCCATCAAGAAACTAACAATGTGGAGCCAGCTGGCTTTGAATTCTGAGTTGTCTCAAAATATGAAGCACATTCCTATATCTGACTGTAGGAATTTACCTTATCCTATCTAATTCTGACTCTAGCCTGATCTCTGCCTAATGAGATGGGCTCTGGTGGTGGTGGTGGAGGATTGCCAGACAGACAGTGGGATGGAGTAACCTTTGAGATAGGCCTCATTTAGGTCTGGTGGGCTGGCCTAATAGCCTGTATTAGGGTTAAAACCAGAGGTCGTTATTTCTCTTGTAAGATATTCAGGCTTAATAAGAATGAAATCTGATAATTCAAGAAAAGCCTGAAATATCCATAGAGTGTGCAAGGATTTCTTCATGATTGACCTTGACATAATCATTGATAACAGAATAATATCTGAATATGAATAACATCAGAAAGTGGTCAGATTGTTGCATGGACTGTTAATCTTACTGTATTTACCCAAAAGCAAGACTATTTTTTTCTCTGAATAACTTTGATTTGCTAATACTGTGGTACAGTTAAGGAGCCAGATCATTTCCCCATTGCATTTTATTGTTCAGGGGAAATAAAGTAAATTGTTCATTAAAGAATATGCAAATAATTTCCTGAATGTGGGATCTGTGAACTCAGGTGAGCATTAGTTGTTCATGAAGACATTTACAGTACTGAAGAACCCTGAAGAGTAGTGGAAATGCTATTATCTACAAGATAACATCACTGGAAGATAA